CTGAACTCTACTTATAAATAATATACAATATTACACATACCTTTTTTCCTTTTTTTCGGTGTATTAAGATAGAATACTGCACCCGCCTATGCTAACGATATATTATACTTCTGCTACTTCTCGTGACATTAAGGGGTATCAATAGAGGATGAAACTATGAATAGCATATATGTAAGTCAGGGCAATTTTTTTTTAATGAGTGAGAATGGAATGGTAAGCCCGCCTATTTGTATTGTCACCTAATATATTGTACTACGCTACTTGTTTACGTTGGCCAGCCACTAGAATTAATCACGATAGTTTCCAGGAAGAATCGCGAAAAGGTCAACCTGATATAATATATTGCTAGCAACAGGGTTGTTCGACCCCATTACTAACAATTACTTACTCCCCAAGCAGACAAGTTAGTTAACCAATCGTGGCACATTCGCTAGGAATTAAACACGATGGTTACCGGGAGCGTATAGATTGATCTCATAAAATCAATTGCTAGCAAATGACATCTAAACTTCTCACGATACATATATACCTTAACAGGTCTATATGTATCAAAATAACGTCAAACGTAATAATTTGAATCTTATAAGTTATGAATACTACTAACATTACTAAACAGATTACATTGTAGTGTGTACTGAATGCTATTTACTTTGATTTTATTTAGGTAACATATTTCACATATATGTTACATAGCAAAACCATAGATACTGTATGTATATATCTACTATATATTGTGTTTAAAATCTAACGTGATGTAATGTGACAATTAAAATTTGGTACCAGTGCACACCAAAGATTTCATGTGTACACGTCTTTATCCGAGATATTAGAATCAGTTAATACTGTAGATAGTGAATCTAATTTAGTACCTATAAATTTTCATTTAACATTTCATCTTCTAAAGAGTATTTTACCTAATTCTAATAAAGGCATGTGATCATGAGATAATTTCTTATCGAGAAAACTAACTAGTATTATACTTTAGTGTAAAAGTTTTTTTAATGGAGGATAATATGTTACATGTAACTTTTCAAGTTCAAATGGTTTCGGTGAAATACAGTGACAAATAGACACGTCAGTAGCATTATAAGTATTCGATTTTACTGTTTAATATAGAACGCTGATAAAAAGTGAGAAGTTATTTTGTTGGAGGTAGAACTATTCTTACTAGTTTCAACTTATATTACTAAATCAACATGACTTAGAATCTATCAATATAAAACGTCAGTCATTAACATTTTTAGAAACTTTTGTAATATTAGTACGATTATTATTGCCAATCTTAGTTATTACAAACCGAACTGACAGATGTTTTCTGTCCCTTTATACATTAACTGATCCATTACGACCATTTAAAAACTTAGACTAATTGGTCGAACCGTCAATTTTCAAGTGATAGTCTTATCAACAAACCCAAGTAATTTTATTTATAGAATTATCAAAATATTGTTATTATCCTTCAGGGTAAGCAGAAGCTACATAAAAGACGTAATTGTATCAATTCTATAATACGACATTGCAGCGTTGCAAACCAAGTGCAACAGTGGGAGACGCGACGCCGCGACCGGTCTGGTGGAGCAGTGGACCCGGAACAAACCACTTCGGCCCAAGGTCGTGCTGATCTCTTACTTTTGGCCGTGAATTAATTTTATCTTGTCTCGTCTCTAGCCGATACTATTATATATCGTCTTACATAAATTATGTATAATTCGTGTATTTATTATGCGTATAATAATATATATGTATGTTGATGTAACGTCTGAGGACCGCATTCTTTTCATTTTTAAGTAGGCGCATCTTGGAGACTTTGTTTGCCTGAATCGCTATTAAAAAGTATCCTATATATTAAGCCAGATGGTCTCTATATTCATTACATTCATTCAATTGTTTAACTCTAATTCAGTAATAAGCATCCAAAATTTTTTATAAATGCACAATATTCAATAACCCTGTAACTTTTGCCCACGTAAACGGCACGTACGGTAAACCCCATCCTTTGTATAATATGACCACAATCTGATTCCTTTATGTAAGAAATGTTTAAAATTTTAATTAGATTGTTTAGGTAAGATCAAATAAAATAACTAAAGATTGTGTCCCGCAAAAAAAAATCGAGTTGAAATGTGACAAAGCTAGTTATTTTGATCTAGAACCTAAACTACCGTACCTATTTTAACAAAATTTCTATGGGACGGATCTGTAAGAATATCCTTTCAGATAAAAAAAAATTCCAAATTGGTTTAGATCTGACGGAATTATGAGGTAACAAACATAAAAAAACATACAAACATCTTTAACAATTTTTTACATTTTTAAGGAATTGTTAGTAATGCGGACTACCAGTCCCATCGCTAGCAATATACTCTGATAGATCAACCTCTACGTATATTAGTCCCCCATGGAAATAATCTAAGAATAAGTGGGCTAACTGATCTGCCTTTTCATTCTCACCTATCATCTTTCACTGTTACCTCGGCAGCGTATACCGTTAGTACAAGCGGGGTTACCATTATAATTAATTATTGTAAAAAAAACAATGCCAGAATATATATATATAATATATATATATATATATATATATATATATATATATATATACCCAAGTGTAATTTATTCATACATTACATTACAAGAAATCATCTACTTAGCTATCAAACCTATTTTATAAACCAAAACTAGTTTTGTAAAAAAGGAACCTACGTGCTTCTCTATATTAAATAATACATGCAAAACAAATTTCGCGAATTGTTTCATTCTTATTTGAACCGTTAAGGCGCTAAGATATAATAAACTAGCGATCCGGTCCAGCTTCGCATAGATAAATAAGATTTTCGAAAACATATAGTTAATGTTAATCGCCGATAATATAGCTTTCTAGGTAAAAGAATTCTTTAAATTAGTTAGTAGTTTTTAAATTTATCCATTACAAGCAAACAGTCAAATCTTTCGTCTTTGTAATATTAATATAGACAAATAGTCTCTTTAACATTTATACACGTATTAATAAGTTGTTGTATGCAAATTTTAAAATATTTTATTTTTATCACAAGTTACCCGAATGTCCTTGCGTGTTTACTTAACAGGTTTTATAGCTGTGCTATGCTCTTGTTCAACAGACCACACCCGACCAGATTTTTTTTCTGATGAAGCATATACACATACATAAACTTTAAATAAATCCACGACAAAACATCGTAAAAAATACTTTGAGTCTAAGAACTAGGTACTAAAATGAATAAATTTTAGCAAATTAACACGATTAATAGCTGTGTCAAGAGTAGTTTTTATAGATATATTCATCTTGTAATTGTTTAATAAAACAACAAACTGCTTAATATAAATGTAATATATTGAGCACTTTTTCTTGTCTTAGATTAAGTAGATATTTTAATTTAATTATTTAATTTTCTCTACTATGTATTTTAGTAAACTTTTACTTCTACCCACAACCAAAGTAAAAAACCAACTCCCAGCAGCGGTATTTTCGAACAGATACAATATTGAAACCTTCAAGAAAATAGCATATTCCTTCTTAAAAGCCTGCAATTTCTCTAATGTTGGCTATCTATAGATATCGATAACTACTTATCATCAGGTAAGCCGTATTCTTATATGCTCATGTCATAAAGAAAATAATACTCACCATCGCGTTAAATAATAACAAGTCTAGTACAACACCTCAGATCGTTTTGATTCCAAGGCAGCTATCTTCAGGGAAAGATGGAGAAAGCAGTGCTGTTGGATACTGCCTGCATATTACGATTGTTTCTTTCCTTGGGTCCCTGAACCCCGGCCCACTGTACTTCTACCGGGAATTAGTTTGCCATTTCCCCTCTTTAAAAGGGCAGATGTGAATTTTGGAGAAAAAAAAATAATAATACCATCACATACTTACTAAATTTAATTAAACAATTAAAAAAATCTGGTATCTATTATTTTTATTCTGTTGGGTATTCAATCAAGGAAATTAATCAATTTCTTAGTAACTAGAAAAAAGTATATCTGTGGACTAATCAAAAATATACTTTATACATCATTTAAATAGGTAAAACCATGTCTAATTCTATTTCTTCTACCCAATAAGTACACTTGCATGACTTAGTTTCATACTGAAAGATAAAATATCTAGCGTAAACTTACTGGGTACAGATCATAATATTTTCAATAATATTAATGTAAGTGCGATAAATTTACTGTTTTTGTATATTTTAAAAATAATTTAAAAAACGTCCAGTTATGAAATCCGCATATTACTGTTTATTAAGTAAAAAAGTACATAACGTTAATTATACATTATTAAAGTATTCCTGAAATTTTAAAATTTCATATTAAAAACGCAATTAAAAATTTGAATAGAATTTAATTATAAGACAAATAGTATATTGCGAGATGAAATAATACGACGAGGTTGATAGTGACGTATATTTCATTTGATTAACTATTGACTTACAACTGTGACTTGTAACTGACTCTATTAACAGAAAAAAATGGTCTTATGTACTAAATAACAAACAAAGAAAATAAAGATAAAGATGGTAGGGTGACAGATTAACCCAGTAAGTGCAGTGCAGTAAGAAAATTGTTTATAATTTGGTAATAATTTTAACAATTTCTAATTTAACACTGTACGTACTGGATTATTATTATTTTGTTATCGTGTTAATTCCCAATTGTGTATTTTAATTTCCTTTGTTTGTAATTTAATATATAAAATTATTTTTATCTGTTAACAAAGTCGCAACAGATACAAGTCAGTTGCGAGTCAGTTGTAAGTCAACTGTTAATCAACTGAAATTAAAAATACGTCACTATCAACCTCGTTCTATCAGTACTTTCCACAACATAACATAAAAACTATCTGTTAAATAATTAACATGTTAAATTAATAAAAATTTAATTTTTATTAGTAATTGACAGATAATGTATATATTACCAAACTTCAATATAAAACTTAAAAAAATTCTGAGTAATGAAATTAATTTTTAAGAAAAACTACAATATGCTGCTAAAATATTTTATTGAGTTTCAGCAACGTTTAATTATGAGTTAAATAATGAATAAGGCAATCACGTGGTATTTGATGCACTATTAACGATGTTAAATTACAATATCAATAAAAGCGAAAGCATATTTGAGATTAATATACGGATTCGGCGATTTCACCTATCACAATTTCTTTGGATTAAAAATTGATCTAATTATTCACAATATCTTTATCAGTGTCTTCATCCGTCGCAGAAGGGACTATGGCAGGATCTATACTCAAATTATCATCCACGCTTTCACCTAATTTCCTATCATTTACATTCACATCAATATTTTCCAATTCATTAATTTCATTATTAATATTTTGGTTTGATACAATATTTACATCATTATTTGATTCAGAAGTTATTTCATCAGTTTCAGGTACATTGCTCTTATCTACTTTTATATTTGGTACATCAATTGTTATTACTTCGTTCTCCGTTTCTCTTGGCGATTCAGCTACTTTATTTTCTTCAAGTGGCTTAAAGATTTCTTGTAACGTCGATGCCTTTTTCTCAGTTGGTATTATTCTATTTAAATATACTAAAATATCTGACAAGGAAACAATCCCTACAAGTTTATCTTCCTTATTTACTAATAATAATCGATGACTCTCAGTTCTAACTATAACTTCTAAGGCCTCATATAAAGTAATACTCGAAAGACATTTTTGTAACTTTTCTTCCCAGTCTTTTTTCTTGTTTCTTACTTCACCAATAGTCAAAGACAAATTTGCGTAAAGCTTTTCACTTACTAAATTCAATACCTCATATTTAGCGTAGACATCAATAAGAATACCATTATTATCTAAAACTGGTAAAGCTGAAATATCTTTATCTAGCAATAATTGAAATGCTGTTTTAATAGTAGTATTATCTGTCACAGATACAATCTCATCGTATGTACCGATTTTTAAATCTGATAATTTTTTGTGAAAGAATGTTAATTCTGGAAATTCATTTAGATACACAAATAGAAATCTTAAAATTCTCTTATGAGATAGTATGTACAATACATCACCAGACTGTGGGTCTATCATTAAAAGACGGTGAATACGATTTTTATTGAGTAAATTTATAGCATCATGTAAAGATTGATCGGGACCTACGCTACATAGATTTTTTCTAGTTGATCGCAATATTTTTCTCCAGTTATGTAGCGTATGTCGCTCTAAATCCTCCACTGATAAATTTTCAGCATCAAGATGCAGAAGTATACGTATAAAATCAGTTACTGTAATCATACCGACGAGTAATTTTTTATTAGCATCCCAAAGTGGGGCAGATCGAATGCCATGTGAAATTAACGTAGGAAATGTCTTTCTTACTAAAAATTGAGTATCAAATATAATGACTTTAGCTGATTTGGGCAAAATTTCATAACATTTGTGGTACTTAAAAAAATTCAACAATAATATAGTTTTATCCCTACCTCCGATTGATATTTGAACTATTGACAAATAAGGATCGTATTTAGGAAGACCCCTAACTTCTCTAAATAATTGTTTTGCTTGTGTGGGGTCCCATAATGCATATGAATTTTTGTGATAAGTAGGAGATGTAGTCTCTATGGAAGATCGACGATTTTTCTTTTTTACTTGATCAGATGTAGGCTGGTTATTTTCAGTTTGGGGCTTTGTCTTAATAAAAATATCCATTATCCTTGTAATAGGACTAGATTTTCGAGTTGAAACTCCTGTTACTGTATGATAATACTTCTTATGAGAATCTTTTGATTCACTAGTACTCTGTTCCTCTGCTGGAGCTTCTTGAGTTTCCGTTTGTTTTATAGGTTTAGACTGGTATTTTTTTGCATCACTTTTTCTTCTTAATCGAAATATGTCAAAAATAGAGCTACGTGGACTAGATGACGTTCCATGAAAAGTTTCATACTCTTTTGTTTCAGTGGAATCTCTTTCAGTACTTGATGGTCTTGATGATTGAGCAGATCTATCTTTGAAAATAGACCTTATGTGAGGTCTTTGTGATTCGACACCACGAGTTCCAAAATGTACAGTATGCACGTTATTTGACGCTATACTAGTAGATGGAACATCTTTATCGTCTGATGTCGATAAGGTTGTAACAACAAACTTCTTTTTCCCTCCAACAACTGTTTGACAATCTTTTTGTGCATCACCTTTTTTCTTTTTGTGTTTATGTTTCTTCCCATATTTTGAAGGAGTATCCGTTGTTGCAGATTCATTTTCTAGTATTGGATCCATGTCCGATATTTAATAACTTAATATTTATACCTTTTCAGTGGCCCATAATCTGGAAAAATTATTGATACCTGTAACAAAAAGTAATAAAAATTATTAAAATAGTTAAATACAAATGTTACAAACATAAATTTTATTTTATATTATTTAATTATTATATTATTTATTAACCATCAGGTTCTTTTTTTTATACAACTTACAATGACAAACAAGCTGATGGCCCATCTAAAGGAAAGTGGTTACCGTCGCCTATATACATGAGCAGTATACATAACAGAGTATACTGTTTCACCCATGATACTCCCCAGGCGTTGCCATTCCTGAGGACTCAGATGTTATTCCTCTGTACCCTGTAAATTCACGCTATATCCCACCCTTCAAACCGAAACACAGTCATGCAAATACAACTGCTTTACGATAAAAACACGAATGGGACAGACGTACCCAAGCAATCGACTTTTGTACAAAGTCTCCCTCTGGTAGGTTCTCTATATAATATTATATACATCCAATATCTCGTATACCCATAATTACATAAATAGTAAAATCATAAAAATAAAGACGAATATTTAATAAGTGCATAGTCGCAACGTAACGTTACTTGACAATAAAAACATCGGTATGTTTATGGAATAACTGAACTTATATTAATCGCTTGCTACATTTATAATTTATATTGCGCATAAATTATTTATAAAACCAAACATCACAAAAGGCTTACGTATTAGTCTGTAGGTCTTATATATAAAGGGACTTCTTTTTAAACCAGGTGATACATTCCTTGTGAATGTAAATATACATTACGTTTATTGTATGCCCACTAATACGGCATTTTATTTTTATTTTAATATACTAAAGAAATTTTTATTAATTAATTACTAATAATTATTACAGCAATTATTATTAATAATTATTTATAATTAATATATTACTATTTTTACTTAATAAGTAAATAAGTACTTTATAAGTACTTTTCACAAATTTAAATTAAATTTTTTTATAAAAATTATAATATACACAAGTTTTAAGGAATCGTATCTACCCAAGTCGTAGTCATTTAAAGCAATACTAAAAAGTGGAAAGATTTGATTTTTTGTTTGTAATGAATAAACTCAAAAATTATTCACTGATTTTAAAAATTCTTTCATCTTTAGAAAGCTACATTAACAATGAATATAATTTGGATATTATTGGCAGTATTTTATTGTAAAAACACCGAAAAAAGCCGAGGCGGTTCACCAGTATAAAATAAAATGTGTTATTATTTTATTTAAACTAGAATAGTGTGAAGTTATACATACCGCACATTTATATACTTATCTATGGTGTAACTATTGATTGCATTTGAAATATAGATACAACGTCTGTCTATACCATAAATTTACACTTTTGCTTTACATGTTTGTTTTCAAATTATCACTTAAACCACTACAAATAAGCATTGGCGTAACGATATCATCTGAGGCACATGGAAAATTCATTAGATAGGAACTCTTCCTTAGAATCAAAGAATTATCGATAGATAGAATAGTCAAGTAGTGTACCTTTATCCTGATTGTTTATTTGTATAATTCATGTATATTCTTTAGAGTAATTAAATTTTGTTTGCAAATTCTTTAATAAATATGTATTAGATTTATTAGATTAGATCTTGCCATGCTCACCACCTCTCGACCAGGGATCTCTCAGGCCGGGGGCCTATGGCATTTTGCCTACTCTGCTACCCTATTGTTACGCCACTGCAAACAACTATTTCTCACAAAGAGGATTGCAAATTTGTAAGTAGGTATAAAAATAATTACATAATTAAGTAAGTCAATTTGTTAACAAAACAAATCTTTTAATTATTCAGTTGAAATTCATTACTATAATTTTTTACATAATATTAAAAACATTAACATTAAACAAAATAACTAACAAACTAAATATTCATTAACAATTAGATTTAAATATTTGTGAAAGAAGTTAAATATATATCACGTATCGACAAAACCCGTGTACGAGTTTAAAATTAATAAAGTGGACGGAATAAGAAATATATGTAAGGAAAGAATGCACCTAAGACCTTTGATACTCAATTTCAATTGAAAGATATAAACATTAAATAGATAATTAAACAATTTTATAAATAAAAATCCATAATATCATCAATAAATATAAAAAGGAAATTATCCTTTCGGTTACTATAAATAAGCCTCAAACTCACAATCACGAGCTAACAATTTCATTGTATTCTATTCTCTAATATGAGCACGTGCGCTGTGTCCCCTCTAATATATGAACAGTTCGTGGTTGCTAGGCAACGAATGCAGTAACCAACATGCACCATTCCAACTGTGTGTTATTGCGTAATCATAAAGATAATTTTCCGTTTTTAGCTATTATCTTTCTATAAGTCAAAATATTTACTGTATACACAGTCATATAGGTCAACAACTTATAAATACGACATGAATATAAAAGTGAAGTTACGTAGTTATTTGACACCAATCTCTAATCAATCAATACTTTATTAAGCACAAAGATGTCAAGTGTTAAATTATACACTACCTACAAATAAGAAGTACCTGAATTCGATGTGGACTTCATGTTCACCTGAGACTGGTATCACTATATAGGCCTTGTTGTATTTTTAAAGAAATCAATTTAGTAGTCACAGTTTCACTTGTTTTGCGTGGTTATCGCAGCGACTGCGCGGAGCGCCATGTTAGCTGTCAAACGGTGTAAGAGCTTTCACGACATCTGTTAGCGGGCGCGTAAAATAGGGAATAGGCCGACAAACGATTTAATTATGGAAGGGTGTAATGGTGCTCCTGAAATGCTCCACAACAGGATTAGGGATATAATCTTTATGTTTAACTTCAGAATCATGAGATGTCGTGACAAGATAATAATAAAAACAATATGGTATATTTTAGATATTATAATTTATTATGAGTGGGTTTTTAACGTGCCTAACTAAGAACAATCGTCCCTTTAATAAAAATATAAAAAATACCTAATCATTACTTAGAACATTTTTAGTAGTAAATATATGAAAATATTAGAGAAAGTAACAGATTTATAAAATAAAATTGGTTTCAGTTTGTCAAATGTCATAATAATAATCAATCTCTTCATGTAGATATATCAATGTTCAGGTTTCATACTGAAGCATACCAAAATAATTAATAATAATTGAACACTTTTAAATATTTATAATGACGTAAAAATACTTTGATAATGGATTAAGACGTTAATCAGAGAATACGTTGCATATAACATAACGTAACCTAATTAGTACAAAACTAATAGTTTTACACCATACTTTATCACTTCATATTTTAATTCAAAAGTTTTTTTTTTTTTTTCTATTGAAATCCAAATTTTCAATAACAACTTTATAAAAATCTTATAGCATATTAATATTATAATTGGCTAACAAAACTCAAACATCTACAAATATATACCGTCTATCTGACGTTATTCATCTAAGAAGGTATTTGGAATGCGGAAACTATGTTTATCTTTCTAACTTTATCTATCCTTAGTAGCCGCAATAACCCCATTTCTATGAAGATGTACGCATACAAATCGTTTGTAAGGACACTATTACACCGAATATAGATGCAGTGTACAATATTTAAAATTAACATTTCTTGATTTAATATTTTAATTTTCATTATTTTATTACAATTTGTCAACATACATACTAACTACTACACATTTATTGTCTTCTAATTTTACAGTTTATTTGCTCTTTTTAATATTTAATAACATTTTTGTTCAATTAATTTACATACTTATAATTATGGCAGAAACGCGCCATCTAAAATTAGATGAAGAGAATTTACGCATGCGTTACTAACTATGACGTCATAATCCCTCTGAAACCGTGACGTCACAATTACGCGGAGTCCACGATAACTATGACGTAGCAAATATGGAGACGAGGGACGGGAGGAGAGGCTACTCGATCGTTATTCTCCTATATCGATACTCGTTCAGTTCAGTGATAATCAAATGATTGCGGCATGGAAGTACAGGAAAGATACCGTAGCCTTGTACGTCACGGGTCGACAGCTCACGTGTATAAATACTATTACTGCACTAAAAGACATAGGTCAGTCGTTTCATTAATAAGCTCATAATAAGGCGTGACATTCTAATATTCCAGTAGACTGGAGATCCATTCGCTGAACCGAGATCTTTATATAAATTTTATAAAAGTTCTATTTTAAATTCATTCTTATTTGCAAATGATTATTGAAATTTGAATAAAAATTAGAAAATAAGTACTTATGTTTTTACATTAAGTCGTTTACATAAATATATGTTTACTATAAGTGATAAGAACAAATTAATTAATAATCGTAATAGTATCATCGATTAATAGTGATGTCTTTTGAAACTCAACGACGATAGGTCAACAATGTCAGGGGCATTACTCGTCCGAGTCAATTACAATGTAGTGTGTATACGCAAACATATTATAGCAATAAATAGTTTTAACACGGAACTGAATAATTTCTTATTAACTTCTTTTTTAAAGTGTTTATTGCTTTTTAGATAGAGAGATAAGGGTTCGGTCAAAAATCAACTAAAGATTAAAATTTGGATGACAATCATTGAAGAAAACAATCAATTAATATACTTTTATACAATATTAAACAGAAAAAACATGTACCTTCGCTAATAATCAATCAAAGTTTAGATGCTGAAACTAAAAAAATACAACGGTATGGAATTCATCGATTTTTATTTCATTTACATCTTTATTTTTTCTTTATACTAGTGGACTATTTGATAGTGATTAGTAGTATGTACTTTTAGTAAAAAGTTAAATTTATAAATGACAATAATTTAAATCTTATTTTATATTTAAACTTCTAATATCTATTATAAAATATACAAATATTGAAATTGTAACTAGCCAATGACTTTACAGAGGAGATATTTAAGATAAATTTATATTGAGGCTCTTAATAAAAACGATAAATGCCAAAACAATCATCACACAAACTATCGCATTAAATTTGATACAGTTTTGTTAACACTGTACGACCTAAAAATAAAATTGCCTCATTATTACACCAAGGTTAGAAATTATCTTTACTATTTATTTCTTGATATAACTGATAATTGTTAAATTATCAGTTATATCAAGATATTGAATTGATAAGACTATTATTAAAGTATTGTTCGGAAAGCTATAGTCCTATTATAGGTGACTAAGTATAAAATTAACTAAAATTACGCTCGTATAACATTATCTTACTAATATAATAAAATTTTAACTAGACGACGTCTATACATGTAAAAAAATAAAAAAAAAATGTAGGTATTATTTTATAGGAGCAAAGGAATCCAAAATAATAACATTTAGAAATTTTGTCTGCGTTTATTCCGGGCGTCACGCAAACACTACTGCACCAAATTGAATACGGTATTCATTATTGTGTTTCTGAAGATCTAATTTTTTAAAAACAATTAGCTATTTTTTTTTTTTTTTGGATACGTCATCTAGAATTAGTCTATTTTATTAGTTTTCCTACTTCTGAAATACACGTGTACGAAGCAGCGAGCAAAAAGCTAGTTATGTTATACATAATTGTTATTTAGAGATATTCGCTTGTTTAATAGATCTTTCAACAATGTATATTGGATTGTATAAAAATAAATATTGATTCATTTCTTCAATCGTAACCAGGACATTTATCTCTAAATAATATATACTTTCATTCCCGTAAATGTAAATCTGGTTGGATTTTTTTTCTGTATACTTCACTAAATGGAAATTGACAGATAAGATTTGATATTGTGCTTGTCTGAGATGAAATCTTCATAATAATATGGTTTCACTAAAAACACAAAACTGCTTACAAAATCTTCTTTATACTTATGGTTATAATCTATATAGTCATAAGTATTTATATTATATACATATTTGTTATAACAATAAATATTATTTGATAAATAGATTCATTACCAAAGATAAGAGGGCTCGAGTGTTCTTCTTATATTGGTGATGATATGTAAGAACGGTAATATGCCATTATCGAATCTCATCTAATCCAAACATCTTTAAATATTGATAACAAATATAATACTTACTTGTACGCGTAAGTATGTACCTACATACTTGATATAGATTTTTTAAATAATTATCCTACTAATATTACATATGTGATAGTTTGGGACTTTTGGATGTTTAGATGTTTATTACTTAAACGTACCCGTGTACCAAATTTCATTCATATCGGTTAAGCCGTTTAAGCATGATTGAGTAACAAATACATATATAAATTTATAATATCAGTGAGATAATAAAATTGTAATTAAACGATGTATATAGAACATATTTTAGAAAAAAATTAATGTAAAATCTTACCCTCTTATTCATAAATTATCTTATTTATAAACTAGACTTTTAATATGTAATGAAAATTTAAAAGACATAATTGCATTATAATTTTGTTTTTCGCTTTTGTTATAAAATGTAAATATTTGCATGTCTACATTGCTTAAGACGATTAAACAGGTACCAAAATAGTACCACGTGATTTTTATAATAATTTTAAACTGTTTAATGTAAATAAACTAATTTCATTTCATAAATATATCAAACCTCTAATAAAACTATTGAAATGTTCTCTTTCTTTTGTGTTAAATTCCCATTTTAAAAGAAAGTGACTAAGCAAGTAACAGTTAAAATAGGTTTGTAGATGGTTTTAGTTTTTATGAATGGACACAAAAGGGATTAATAGGAACAAAAGAAGGCAAAACTTTTGTTTGTCTTCTGTCTGTCTTTACATCTTGCAAAAAGTATTGCATCCAACTTTATCTTTATATAAACCTGGAATATATCAAAATAATATTTTGCTTATTTTAAAAGCCATTTTAAAACCTTATCTATACCTCACAACATAGAATATTCTAGTTTTATATGCACTTGTAGTCAATTGATATAATTGTATGGCATCTCTATTTGCGTAATATCTTATTTGTTATAGTTATAAGAAGCAACTATCAGACTTTCATTATTTTATAGGTACCTATCGATTTTTTTAACCATCATATCTTAATGTTTATTTCAACTAATTAACAATTTTAATATCTTCAAACATATTGACTGTACCTATTACTAATTAGCTATCATTCTATACGTAACACTATACTAATTCCTTGGAAACTATCGTAGTTTATTTTATTTGAATTCTGCTTTCATCCGCATCTGTCATCTCTCACTGCCCCGCCAGCGTATACTGATAGCACAGGCTACCATTACGTTATCACCCATTAAAAATACGATACTAATTACATAATAATAATCTACTAATTGACTAGCTATGTCCGTGACTTTGTCCGCATGAGTAGGAGAAAATGTAGCCCATATCCTTCTCCATGCTAGTGCCAAATGTTATGTCGATTGGTTTAACCGTTAAGGCGCCAAGAGATAAACGAACTCACTTTCATATTTGTAATATTAATAAGGATGTTTACTTTATATAATGTCTCTATTACTTTAATTTAATTATTATATTGACATGAGAAGCACCAACCTACAACAAATAAACTTTTTATAAATAGGCAAATCGAGTTTTGTACACGTGATGATGAAATATGAAACAGTTAACGACAAAATCAGGTCAATTGGCTCATCGTGACAAATTCGCTAGGAATTGAACACGATGCTTTACGTGAGGAAGAGGGGGGGGGGGACTAAGCGAAGGTTAACCTGATAGAGTGCATTACTAGTCATGGGGCCACTAGGTCCCATTACTAACAGTCCCTTTCCCAAATTTTCTAATATTGTGGCAATATCTCATGTTGAGGGGAAGGGATTGTGAATAATGGGGAGATTAGTCCCCATTACTATTAACATGCCCTATCAGGTCAAACACCACGTGGTTCCCCCTGGAAACCCTCGTAACCAATTTATCGTTGAATTCGTCACGATGGGCTAACTGACCTGCCTTTGCATCCTCACCAATCATCCCTCACTAGTACCCCGCCAGTGTACACAGATACAGCACAGCACAGCACAGGCGGCGTTACCATTTCATTATCATTCATTAAAAAAATATCTCGCGATATATTTGCTATAAATAATAGTAACACTACACACATACTCACCTAATTTCTTACTAAGTATGATAAATGAACTGTCGAGTTAAGCCACAAGAACACAACTGACGGTAAAATACTTAATTGCTTAATACCATATTACGTCAACTTTCAGTAGGTTTCATGTTTCAAATTTATCAGAATGAAGTCATTTATGAATAATATCGTACCTATTCCTAACCTATCTATTTTGATCATATGAATCCAAAGTTTTGGTTATATTCCGACACAACAAAGTTAAGGTCATTCGATAATCTATATATAAATTAATTGTTTTTTTAATAATCAATCTCTTATTCCCTTTACTTTCTTATACTGACATAATAAAAGTACACATGGCGATCATTTGACACCTAAAGGCGTTCTCTATCAATAAAACCAAAGAAACAAACCACAAAACAAGTTACATTTTAGACCACATCATCACTTCTTCATCAGGTAAGATCATGATCAACAGCAAGACTTTTAAAAAAAGATTTGTTAGGCGCATACTTATAAATTGTAAATAAACTTACCATTATGGTGGCATTATGATCAAGTTACACAATTATACATAATATCAGCAGTTTAGAAAATTGGGAAATTAACTGATTCTATAATAATTATATTTTAATTATTAATTTCCCAATTTTATATACTGACTTTTCTAATCTACTGATTACAATACAATTATTATAGAATCAGCTAAATTAATATCCCATTTTTTAAAAATACTAATACGCTTTCATATGTAAACAAGTACTAAGTAATGACAACAACTTATATAACATTTTTACAATAGGTAATAGGCATCTCATTACTAATATATATATATATATATAGATAGATGTGTTTGTTTGTTATTACCGCAACGGCTATAACAATTGTCATGGAAAAGTACCTACATACATACACAACTTTTTATAACAGTCAACGAATATGACCCGGTCACAAATTATTGATACAACTAGTACCTATAGAAGGTATAGTACTTATAACCTGTTATAAGTAATATACATTATTAATATACCTTAAGTTTAAACATAACGTTTTTTATACACCGTCTTTGTATATTACGAGTATATAGATATTGCATATATTATCATAAAGGTACTTATTATAATATAAACGCATTAACACAGCAATGTCAGATGTACTAATTAACAACAGTATGAACCTAAATACACGCCACAAGAAACAAAGGGTTTAAATTAGATCAATGTGTATCTTTACATTTTATATAATATCTTTGTTATCTAGGTAGGTAAAATTAAACAATATACGAATAAGGCAATATTTTTTTATAATACCTAATAGTACTACGTACCTGTACCTACATCAATAGTTTCACAACAACAACATTAGCCTAACAACAACATTGAAACTATTTAGACAAATATTTTGATAAAGCGCCAAATAATCTTATGACTAGTATAAAAAGGGACATGTGATATATTGATATTAATTGGACACGGGTAGATTTAGATATGTATCTGTACATATAATGTGCCTAGTTGGAGTATTTTCGTCTTCAGCAATATTAAACATAACCTCAAAATCTTTAACACCTACTAGCTCTTTTTGAGTCTGTGTGATGTACTTAAACAGTTAACAATAAAATATTATCTATACTCACAACAGAGATCATTGCATCGAACTCCTTTTGCACTATTTGTAGACACTTTACACACACATTCGCATTGTACATATACCTAGTTTTAAATGATAGTTGAGCGTCGAGCCCGTATAGAATCGTACACCTGCTTCACTGGGAAAATAAGTGGACTGCGTACAACATAGCTACTACTGCATAGAAATTGATGAGGCTACTGTTATGTCAGCAGGCAGCGCCATGCTCAATTAGTACAATTTACTATCGCACTCAGCGTTCTAACAATGCGCTGACTTCATCGAATTAAAACAAGCCAGTCGCGTTCACATTACAGAATTCTCGCGGACCGCTGCCGCTGCGTTCGCGCACCGATAACAGCTCACACGCATACATTGAACAACTTTGTGTCCGTACACAGAACGATACACCAACAGATGCTTACTTTACATTTAAATATAGGTGACGCGCCCGTGCACTAACTTTACTAACAAACTGCTGATAAAGTATAGTAAATACCTACCAACGATTAACAATAAATCATACAGAAATAAAGTAAAATTTTTAATAAATCACGTATTTTAGGAACATTCTATGAAGAATTTTTTTTTTTTATTAACATGAACAAGATTAAAATCACGTTTAATGTCCATATCACACTTATACCCATAGTGAATGAGAGCACTACTCTCGACATTTTCAACGAGAAAATTCTTGTATATCTAAAATTACTTGTAAAAATTTTTTTGACCAATTTTTACCCAGAAATTAGACGACTCCTTCTCAATTGGGCAGTATTCTAAAAAGTTTATTCACTACGTAAGACAAAAATCTAAGCATATTGCCCGTCATGTCTTAAACAAAACGTAACTATAAAGTCATATGAGAAGTTTCTGGACGCTTAATGAGCTATGGAGAATGATACAGTCAAAGTTTGGCGGCATAATGGAATCCGCAATGAGGAGATCCGCTGACAAATTAAAATAACCATTTTATCCAAAGTATTCACAAGCTAAAGTCTCAATGGGCCAGCCATATAGCTCGAAGGACCAACAACAGATGAATAAAAATACTAGAACAAATTAATCTATAAACAACTGCAGAACTAGAAAGTTCCAATATTTTCCCCTTAACGCGACTAAGTACACCACCAGGCAAGTCATCTTCTGTGACGTTTATGATTACTTTTAGAGTTCCGTAACAAAAAGATACAAAGAAACCCTTATAAAGCTATATTATTATATTAGCTATATCTAATAAAAATAATCTAAGAATATTTTAAGTACATTTTTATGTTACTTTCAATATTTAATTCGGATATTTCTATTTGTGCAAGGGTTATTTTATATTATTTGCTTTCACTTTAAATAACAACCATTTAATTCAGCACAGTGATAGTGATAGTGAGCTACGATAAATCTTTAGAAAATAACTTGAAATGTTAAAAGCCTCTAAATAAAAAAGATTAAAAAAAAGAACTTGAAATGTTACGATGCAATGTTTTCCGAAATTTCGGAGCCGAACGAAACACAAATTTGATGTTAAAATTACATAATACTTACTGTTTAAAAACATTAAAAATATTAAAATATTATTCCTTTGGACTTTTATGGTAGGATTTATGACGAACGAATGTTGAACTCCATTTACTGGGCCGATTTAGATATGAACGAAAACACGAAATTGAGTCCGAAACTTCAGATTTTTATTTCATGGTAGGCCGCTCTTCCTTTCGCATACGTATCGTAAGAGGCGACTAAGGAAGGATGAGGAATGGGCAGCAGCGTCCTTCTTACAACATCTCCAAAGCCTATGTAACTCCGGTTGCAATTGGCAAGCGTGACTACTACTGGCAAAACACCCCTAGGGGAGGCTTATTTTCGGCAGTGGTCAATTAAAAGCTGATATAAAGATGATATTGATGAAATCCAAATTATTAAAAAATTATCTAAATTATTAATCTGATACTTGTAATTATATTCATTATGGGTGATCAACAAAAACCAACATCGTTTAAAAAATACCTAAAACTGTATATTTTAAAAATAACTGAACAATATTCTACACTTACCAAAAAGTGGTAATAACACTTAAATGTTAAATGTTTCAGCGTATAGGTAACTATAGGCTGTATTTTAATTACTACAAGAATTAAAACAGCCTATAATAAATTGTACCCACTCGTATAATTATAAAATGATATTGATTTTAATAACAAAGGGTGCTTCTTAATTATCTTCTAATTATAATCTTATTATTTATATATATATATATATATATATATATATATATATATATATATATATATAGAGAGAGAGAGAGAGAGAGAGAGAGAGAGAGAGAGAATGACCAACCTTCGTACTTTTACATTATTTATATATATATATATATATATATATATATATATATATATATATATATATAAATAATCAAATCCAAACAAAGTTATTGTTTAATAATGAGATTATTAATATTTACGTTAAATGTACATAGAATTACACTGTGTTAAACTTTAATAATTTAAATAAATAAACTATATTTAGAAACATATAATTTTCTCACTATTTACATAATATTTGTAAACAATTCGGAATTAATCTTAATATCTCTATATATTTTTATTCCGTTACAAGGTTATGTATCTATTAGTCACTGAGACCAAGGATTTTATTATTTTATAGATTATTTTGAAAAATTATAATAATGATCTACAAGTATAGCGGTAAGTATACTAGTCGTGACTTGAAATTCCACGGTAAAATAGAACGCTGTGAATTCGAAACAAGAATATTCGCAGAAGAACCAAAAAATATTAAATAAAATATAACGAAAGTATCTAGTATATTTATTCCAACCAAACCTATTGTATCATAAAAATAGTAATTACTGCAATTTTCCAATTCTTCAATTGATTTTATTCTACACAAAAATAAAAGAAGGTTGCATAAAGTCTCAGATATATTTTTAGTTATTCTTGTCTAACACCAATCTTGTTTAACATCAATATCCATTAACTATCTACTAACCTCTTTACCATTCCAAAAATCACACTTAGCGTAAAAAGGCTTTTTCATTTAATTGGTAAACAAAGTTAACAGGTTACAAAAAATTTAAAATAATTACCTTAATTTTATAACTTTTATAAGGAAATTATTTTTATATTTCCTGTTGATTCGAAATAAATGACTGTTGATAGCGGCATCGATTCATTTTAAATAACAAAAATCCATCTCTGTCACATTTACTAAATATGTAATTTATACTCCTTAATAGTCTCGTATTTTTTCTAATTCTATTTTTAAACAATAATTTTTATAACTATACTTTTATTATATACCTACATATTTATTTATTGAACAGGATTAATAGTGCCCCATACGCTTTCCGTTGATTCATATCAAACTCAGTTTACTTCTCAAATTTCTTACCGATTGGTTAACAGCGTTCCTCTTAAAACATCACCGAACCCTAACTGCGGTTACCAGACAGCCTGTCCAGCGTAGCAACTACTGGCAAAACCCCGCTTATGGGGGAGGAATTCAGCACTGGGCAGTTAACGGCTGATATAATAATAATAATATAATAACGTACCTACCAATACACCACGAAGGTTGTCATAATTATTATCTGTCTAAAAATTTTATTCTTTTCTTATTTTATTATACATTTCATGAATATTATTAACATACGAGTAACTAGAAGTATTGGAAGAGAAGAGCTATGCTGAACATGCACCCACTCGCGTTACCAGCCTCCTTCCTCCTAAATGGACACGCTACTATAGGACCATTATTATGGCTCTAATAGTCAGAAGGCAAAGTTGTATACTACGTTATAATTTGTAATTTCCAAATTTACGCTATGCTTTACTTAATGCTATCATGACTGTTTACAAAATCTTACAGGTAATATATTTTAATATATATATTTCATATATAATATATTTTCTACCAATGTATTTTCAAAATCCATTAATAAATAATTATATTGATTGTTGCCTTTATGTAAGGAATTTGCTTATATGACCCTTCTGTATATTTGTGTAAAGTTCTTATACTGCAACAAATATAATGTTTTCATACATCTGACAGTGGTCGACAACATTAGTCACTCACCATCGAGTAAGCTGTATGCTCCTTTGCCTCTATTTCACATTAAAAAAATTATAAAGCTTAATTTTTACCATAGAATAGTTTGACTATAGAACATAAATAATATTGTTTCGCTGAGTCTATAATTCTTAATGTCTCAGTCTCATGCAGGTGCAACATTTACCATCATAATAACATGTACTTTTTTTCTTTTGACGGATAGAAGTCTTTTGTCTGTGAGTAGGCGATGCGACGGGATCGATTATAAGTAAAATTAGAATAACTGGACGCTTGCCCGTTCCGCAGGCAGCAAATAGTACTGGGGCATGCGACCAATCGTAACAGCCACAAATACATGCATCGTACTGAATGCGGATACTCAGAGAAAGACAACCCCCCCTCGACGATAGCTTTACTTATCGTATTTTAAACAAATATATACCAATTCATTCGATTTTTAAAAGATTTACTTGACAGTCCTGCAATTTATAAAACCAAAATACATTAAAATGTAATGTTATTAATTTATATGGCATCTTTGTTAGCCTGGACCGGTTATCTCTTGTTTATTACAACGAATCTCCATCAACTTCTCAAGAAAAGTTCTCAGTCCAACTGAAATTTGATGTGTATTACACCAGACATCGCGGAATACATGGCGACGTTTGAAGTTGGTTCGATGATAAATCATCCTAAAAGCAACATTATATATATTCATCAGTTCATTAAATAAACTGTATATAGTTTGTGAGAGTTAAGAATTAATCAGGGAAGCTACGCAATAGAGTTATAGAGGCATGTTTATAATATAAAAACAGTGATAGAGATAATGAAGAGAAAGACAACAACAGGAAACAAATAGAAGTATGAAATAATGATAATTTAAATTACAGAAAAATAAATATATAAATAAGATCCACGTCCTGGGCACGGAAATTGTGAAATTCTTAATGATTATAACATTTTTAATATACCTAATGATAAATTGTGTATAGTATTTATACACCTTACTATAATATGCAGGCTTCAGTGGATGTAAAGTCTAAAGGCATTTAGTAATATTAGTTATTTATTATTTTAATATATATACAAAGTGACGACGTGTTATACGTGTTTAGTGGCGGGAGCGAGAGAGCTCGAACGAACGAGTCAGAGTGAATGATTACTAAACAAATTGAAATTATTTTAGTCATATAACAAACAAGATAAATGCATTATTTATAAAAAAAAACTATAATTAAACATCAAATGTGTAAATTAAACTATATTTTGTTACATTTTAATAATGTTCATGATATTATGAATGAAAATCAGGTATCATACATCATGTACTTGTAAATACCATATACCATACCTTGAATAAACTATTAATCTTATATAATATCATTATAATAATAAGATATCCTCATTGTTGAGGAGATGTCTAAAACATTTCTACAAGGCATGGTAACTAAATACCACTTCCGAAAATAACATTTTCAAGAGAACACTTATAATTTTAAAACACTTTCAAGTGATTAGTACAATACACTTCATAGATGACTATTATTTAACCTTTATAATTAATAATGTATTTCTAAATTTTCTCTCTTATTAATAACACAAACGTAACATCTTTCATTCATGATAATAGTAACAATGATAATGTTATAAAATTAGAGTGCATTTTAAACAATTATTTGATAAAATTATCTCTTATGTATTCTGTTCTGGCGGCCCACCCAGAGTGGTAATAGTCGCCCACAGTCATAACAACACTATGGGCATTATTCCATTTTTTATGTCTCCGTACCCAAAAATATCATTGTCATGCCCTTATTATGAATATGACCGTGAAATTATTGATACTTCAATTCGCAACAGCTACGAAAACGTATCTTCTCGCCGGCAGAAATGCAAGTGAGATAGCGGTACCTTTGTAATTAGCTTTTGTATAAAATTTAACTTTATGAAAACACACAAAATATGTTAAAAGTCAAAGTATTATCCACACTATATGTGTCCTCTGGTGACGACGAGTACAATCAATGCGGAAACGTGCGACGGTCTGCCCCAAATGAGAGCACGGGATGCGTCGCGATGGACGCGTCGCCGCCACCGCCCGCTGTCGTCATCGTTGCATTTTGTCCTCCAATACCTCGATGTTTGACCAATTATTACTCTCTAGACTCTTCAGTATAATGCTGTATCAAATCTCAAAATAAGTCTGTTACATATTATGATCATGGCAGCAAGATTTCTTTTTTTAAACGGTATACAACAAATTATCTGCAATCATAGACTATTTTTATGAATATTGAAATTCTCAGTTATATAAATTACTTCTTTTTATTTAAATATGTACAAACAAAATGGGCTTACATTTAAGTTATTTTATCAAATTTACTGTTTGATATTAGGTGGGCTGTCAGCTTCTTTACTATTCCTAGTCGCTTGTATATGTATTTGTCTCTTCAGTTTAAAGTTACACAAAAATTATATTTATAATTAATTGTAAAAAAAATGTCGTAAATAATAATAGTCAATTGACTTAATATTGAAAAGGGTGGCATCCATGCTGTCATCAAGTACGAGTGCTTTTTGGCAAGAGTAAAAAAATATATAGAACATTCCATGACCCCGATAGTAATGAACATCTAAAGTCAAGGGAACTAAAGACACATAAGAATGTAGATTATAAAATAACCTCGTTCTGTATTGTTCTCAAACAACCTTACTATGCATTATAAGTTTTCCAAAGTTTCTTACCTAACACGCTATACCAATATTATTGCAAACATTTTTTTGAAAAATTTACTTCTTCGTGTTCTTTGGCTACGAAATTTCGGAGAAACTTAAATAGTAGTTGGACTAGATATAGAAATATCTGGAGTTATATTTCTATTTCATCTGTTCCTGGTTCTTTTAATAATTTCTACTTAAAAACACATCATTCATCATCATTATCACAGCATTTAACCCAGTCTAATACATTTGTCACTTTTTACTTTATTGCTCACTTCGAACCTAAATGTATGTCAGTATAACCTTTCTTTGTACACATGAATGAAATAATGATCTTCATTATTAATTTATATGTGAATCTTTGAATTTATATGAATATTTTTTATTATTATAAATAAGTAAAATAATCTCTATTCAATTCACAATTTATATAATACATGTTCTAAAAATAAATCATCAACAAAAAGAAACTACGTCAATCGTCTGCATAAATAATTATTAAAATCGATTTATAATTGGCAAATAAATCGTCTACATAAAAAATAATTGAGTAGGTATACCTTTTTAGTTGCTTAAAACATCGAAATATTTATATTTCATAAGATCGCTAGTGAAACGTAACTATTTAATACTCGTAGTTATAATAAAATATGAACAACGTAATTTTCATATTTTTATCCAAATTAAGCAGTTCTTGGAAAACTTTATTTACTTCCTTTCACACTGTTATCGTAGCCCTATTTTTAATGTTCATACGAGTACTTTAAGTTTAATGACAGTGTAAAATTACAGACTTAAGTACGCATGCATTTTCGTACATTGTATCTTTAGTTACTCATATTTCAATATAACTTAATGATAATTTAACCGTTTTGTTAAACACAGAACAGAAGTACTCTCTAAATTAAATTAATAACAAATCGGGACATTGAATCTATTAATCGAATTTTGATTTGTATTACTATTGAACGTCAACAGCCTTTTTTATAGTCGGGCCAATATTTTTTTTTTTTATATTTTCAGTAAATTCAATTAAAACAGACTATAGTACCATACAGTTACTAATAATAATTACCTAATATTCATAACTATAGAAATATATAATTAAAATTGAAATTAAGTGACGAAAAAAATCATCTATGAATTTGTACACCATTATCATTTTTTGAAAATAACTTAAATAGGTATAAACAAAAATATATTTTTTCATGAAGCACCTATATAATATACGTAAATAAATGTTGACATCATTACTGCGCATTTTGAAGTTGATCCCCTTATTACGTGGGCATTTGCAAATCAACATCGTATATACAAATACAACATCGTTAAAAGATATACAATATACCTTTAATATATGACACGAGTACTTACCATTATTTAAGATATAGTTCCACAAAATAAAACTGCAACTTCAGTGATGACAAAATTAATTTATGGTCTACATAAGAACATTGAACCCTATCAATTGCAATTCATAATAAGAATGATTAAAATCTAAGATTGATAAAAATACAGTATATTCGTAAAACATCGAGAAACTATTGAATTGTGAAGTGTACAGTTGCATAAAATTCGATATTTGTGATCGATACGATCAACGTACCAACTCCTCCTATGAATCCTTACTAATAAAATAAATAAAAACACGCTTATGCGAACGAACTCGCAAGTAAAAGCTGGTAATAAATATTTTTATGCAATAATATGCATTTTAATGTAACTCTTTAGATTGAAAATATTCGTCTAAGTTCATTTGCCTTCTTTAGTAGTATAAAAAAGTACGAACTTAAAAAGATGCTTAGAGAAAGAGAGCACAGCCAAATAATATTATCTCCGTATTGTACTAAATAAGGTCATTAAAACTCCTTAGGCGAATGAAATTAGAATTGACAAAGTACTAGAGTGTGAAGTGAGATCTAAAATAAGTACAATTTAACCCTTATAGTAGGTACCAGATAGACCTACAGATTGTTTTTTTATGCAACTTAGAATGACAAACAAACTGACGGCCCACCTGATGGAAAGTGGTAACCGTCACCTATAGACATGAATAGTACTATGTACCTACGTAACAGAGTATACTGTTTCACCCGTGATACCCCCCCATGCGTTGTCATTCCTGAAAATTCAGGTGTTATTCCTCTGTGCTCTATAAATTCACTGCCATGTCCCACCCTTCAAACCAAAACACAACCATACAAACACAACTGCTTGACGATAGAAACACGAATGGGACAGAGGTGCCCAAGCAAACAACTTTTGTACAGTCTCTCTCTGGTATGTGCTATTACTAGACAATCCATATGTTTCTTTGTAATCTACATAAAGATATGTAAATAAAAAATCAATATAGTATGGTCTCGTTATACATAACATCTATCTATTTTTAATATCATGTATATGACTGTCTTAATATTATTAATTAAATGTGAAAATAAGTTTGTTTGTTTACCTCTGTTTGCTATAATGTCTCAACCAATCGTCATTAAATGTGATATACCTTATACGTAATACCTATAGCTACAGTATGAAAACGGATATATGCTACTTTCGTTGAGGTCAATCAATACGTACCACATAATAATGACATGGATGGTCTAATAAGTAAATAAATTATAACTAGGATGACTTCATTTGAAAAAATATAAATAAACAAATGTATATTTAGTTATAATAAGCTCTTATTTATATTTTTTTTTTCTAAAGTATGTGTAATAAAAATCTGGAATTCATAACATAAGATACTGTAGAATTATAGAACTTGGTATATAAGTCATTGTTAACAAGTTATTCATTATTATTGTGCGACTGACACTAAATTAACTCTCGTAGTTTCCAACTGATATGAAAAACTGTTCAAAACAGCGACGAAGTAGCACCGTTCGGGCGGCTCGTGACGCGGGCGCGGGCGGCGCACGGCGGCGGCGGTGGCTATACAAAGCATACGAAAGCTCCGCTCCGTACTAGCAATGCCGTTAGCGCAGGCTCGGGCGGGCGGCGGCGGCGAGGCGGCTGCGGGCGGGCCGTGGGAGGTACCGTTAATGACGTCGCCGCCGTGACGTCACAGCCGTGACGTCAGACATCGCGATATAGCCACCAGCCTCAGCGGCGGCGGCCTCAGTAACGCACCGCCCGTTCACAAGCGCGTACCTCCGTGCACCATCTCGCGAACCACTTCGACTTTACCGACTGACTGAGTGAGTGAGTGCGCGTGCAGTGAGTGGAATGTGCTCGGCCGCATGAGGATCCTGCTGAGTGAGCTGGGACTGTCCGGCGCGTGCTTCGGCCTGACCCTGGAGTCGCGCGAAACTTCGCTGGACCCCGAGAAGCCTGCGCCAGGTCAGCGCCCGCACGACGATACGCGATCCAATACTTCTGTGTTTATTTTCGCTTTCGTTGTGTAGAACCTCTGGGTGTTGTAGACTTTGTGTGGAACTGTCGTGACAATGGCCATCGGCTAGAATGCGAGGTGCGTTGCTGACGCCCTCCAGCCAACACTGCGCCTTTAGACAATTCCAACACACACGTACGTACTTCCCTTTTTGTTTATTTTATTTTTAAGACATTATTATTTGTTAATTTATTATTTTATTTAACTTTCACTTTCGTTTTTCTTTTTTTACAATATTGTTTTCTTATTAATCCTGCATTCCTTAGATTTGTTATAAAACTAAAGTGATTTTAGAAATGACAAAAGTAAACAAACTTCAACTAGAACTTCCTTTATGATCCTTATTATCCTTTAGATATAATAATGATATATAAATATAATTATTATATCTAATACAATTTTACATAAATTACCTACAGTTTATGCAGGTAATACCACACCTTTACGGTAAAATTTTTAATACTCTTGATTTAATATTTTTTATATTGCTCTTTATTTATTATTTGCTTCCATATACGTACAAAGGTTATCAAGTAAATAATACATATTTATATTTTTTTACGTGAATCCTTTCATAACACAGTAGCTTAGTATACTTATTAATAGGTACTAGATTGTATTCTTAATCAAGCCAATTTTAGTATTAAAGTTTTTTGTGTGATAATCCAAGATCTAAATATTCTGGATGATCACGTTTTAGGTTTATTTATTTCAAAAGGATAGAAGAGATGAGGAGGTTTGATTCAAAAGAGGATTATAAAACATTATTTGATACAATATTTAATTTAAATGCTAATATGAAAAGTAAGTTTTGCATTTAGTAAACATATCTATCATAGATTATAGTTTAAATTCTTTTATCTTTCTAAATATTCATCAAAGGTATCTAGAAGGGAATTAAACAGCTATGTTTAGTACTATTTTCTATTTCTTCTTACAGGTATATAACTTATATTATACAAATATATATAAATGTTGATTTAAATAAAATCTTACTCGTATATAAATAGCTATATTATTGGATGAGTAGTAATATTTCAAAATTGTTGAAAACTTTGACACTTTTATCAACGTCATCATAATATTATGAACATTTATTTATTATCTAGTCTTCTTAGTCGGAGGTCGGTTTACTATACATTTGCCTCTAAATGGTCACTACTCGAGATTCTTAATCACAATTTACTTTGGACTATGTGATCGACTTACTGTCCATATAATTTATTAATACTACAATTGTTATAATTATTTATTAATACAACATTTTTTATTCTTTGACTAAGTTTTTAATTAAAAACAAACACCTATATATATTAAGCGTTGAAACCATTGTAAATGAATGAAACATTTTTTTTATATACTAGCAAATTATTTTATTAGTAAATTCCCGCGGCTTCACTTACGTCACGTAATACGAGTATATTACTCGTGTCACTATTTACTACTCATACATTACATAGGAATCGTTAATAGATCTTATACATACATACATATAAGCCATGCCTGTCTTCTATTAGGATAGGTAGAAACAATAGGACGCAAAATGCTACAATCCTTTCAATTCCTCCTCATTCATCATTATATTTATACAAACTCGCCAGTTGACAGTTCTAATATAATTAATAGAAAATATTTAGTATGTAAAATTTAATTAGGATAAACTAAGCTGAAAGCTACATACATAATAAACAAGTTCAGTTTCACATTCATAATAAGTATAGATAAGGATTATATTATATTTATATACGTCACTAGCATCCTTACCGAGGAAGACGATATAGGCATTATCAGCGTCTGCTCTGTTACAATCCAATATTAAAAACTCTACCTTAATCTTATTCGGATAATCGATATCAATTTTCTTCAAAATTACTGTACTGAATTCATTGTGAATAATAAATTTATATTGATTATTTTTTAAAAACAAACATCGACACAGTACTGCAGTACACAAGTGTGTACTGCTACGAGCTAATAAGTATTAGCTCGTTGCATTCTTTTATGTTAAATTTAAATCTATTATGTATCTGCTTATATTTAAAAGTGAAATCAAGCCTGTTATAGATATTAAATACGATGCAAGATAAAACAATGCTAAAATCAAATCTATCTAATGGTAAACGTTTAAGTTTTCAGTTCACATGTACCATAAGTAGGTATATGAATTATATTCATCTCTGCTTAATTAGAGTCAAATGTAGATACAACACAAACAAGTAATGGTGCAATAAATTTCGACACTTAAGAGGACTGGTCGAAGAAGAATTGTGTAGACCGCATAAATTATACCCGACGCCGATGTCATAAGAGTTAGGTATATGTAGATATAAACAGCACCACCATATTCGCGCGATTATATTATTTATACCTATTAAGAGAACACGTTGAATTGTCTTCGGATTTGTTTCACTCAGAACGAGTTAGGTAACAGTTATGACTATAATGTGGGATGTTTATGTCGCGATAGCCTCCGGTCTCCGAAGCCGATGGCCTCAGCCGAACTGCCTGCTACTTGCCCAATCCACTGTCGCAACCGGCAGACGTTGCACCTGCCCGCCAGCAAGATGCGAGCCTCTGCAAATTGCCGACGCATAATATTGTAACACGGCTCATCTTAATAATCATCAACCGATATATATTAGACAAACTCTGACCCATCGACTGCACCGCTGACAGCACACATATACAGTACGTCCACGACGCACACTACCAATCGTCTGTACAGTACATCAAGTTCAGTAAAACAAACTTTCACTTTTATTGATACTTATTATTATCTAGTGACCGTAAAAAATCATAGATACCTATGTATTTGCCTAATAGAAGACAAAAGTGGTTCTATTAAAATAATATATGAAGTCATTTCGAGTTTAAATTAAGTATTAAAATTTTATAGACGCTATAAATGCAAATTGATATTTGAATAACAAATCACATTTGGATTCACCCATCGACGAATGATCTTGTGATTTGAACTGTAACATGATGTTATTCGGACTATATACCTACTTATTTAGAAAAATACCTGGTGGCTCAATTAAAGCGTGGATGCTATTGACAGATAGACAATGATACAACGCTATCGCACAGCTGGTGTGACGTCACCGCGAAGTTACGGCCCCGCGTGCGTCACTCTAACTGACGCCACCCATGGGTGGACTGTTCTCTGCACCAAAGGGGTCGCATCCTGTTGCCCCTCCGCAACAAAACTGACGGGCCTCTATTATTATTTATTTATTTAACTCTTAATTGCACCAGAAAAATAAAAGTATACAATGTTAATTAAATAATTCTAGTGAAATAAGTACAGTAGCATAAAATATAGATTCAAATATATACATAAAGATATAAAAGCCGATCTTATGGCTAGGGCAATCTCTTACAGACATTCTCTATTTATTTTGTCGAAAACAGTTGTATTATTTTATTATACTCGTATATAATAATATATGGAAATTATAAAATTCGATGATATAAATATTAATATTATTGGTAATAACTAGTAATAATAATTGTTTAAATATAAAAACATAATATCTAAAAGAGACCACCTACTAATAAATCTAAAAGCCACACGTTTATCTATTATGAGCTAAAAAATACAATTAATAAAGATAGAATATTATTATTAGAATTTATTCAAAAATATTGTATAACATAAAATGTGAGTACCTTAAAAGCTCTTAATTAACATGAATCTACCTAAGCATCTAATTGTACATGGAAAATCTGCAGAATATTTTTAGGCATTCATTTTGTAGTCTTTCGCTGTTCAGAAGCGTGATCACGTCACGCAGTCTAAAAATATAGAGGTGGTTGGAAAACGGCAAGTGTGGGGGTGGAAAGGGGCGCGAGGCGGCATCGTTCGGTCTCGGCTCTGCATCGAGCGACGCCTGTGACGTCACGCGTCAGTTACGTCACCCATCGACCGGCGTTACGGCTCAAGGACGCCCTTGCCTAATCGACCACCAACTTCCTAACTTACCGTCCGTTTTGCACGTAAAGGGACGTAAAACGAGGTATACTCATTGAAGTTTCGTCACTGAAGTCTAGAATTTTGAAGTTTAGAATATAAATCTATAAACATTTATAAAATAAAAAGGCTGAAAGAGAAACACTAAACTGGAAAGATGAACAGATATAATAATAAATAAATTTTTAAGCTTGTACTTTTTCCTACAATGACCTGAAACCTATAAAAACAAACTTGATATAGGCTTTCCAACGACATTAAATATGTCTTGTTATCTATTAGTCTTAGGAACTCCATACATTTTTATCCATCATCCTTTTGTACATAAATACCCTAGGCGTCCACTAAAAAGAGTTGTAAATATTTCTAGAGTAACGGAAAGTAACTAGTTCAGCACAATGGTCCACCAAATTTTCTTCTTTCAGATATGAACATTTAATAATAAGACTTTCAAGGAATTACTTTACTAAAATAGATGACTTTTATTCCATGTTTCAGATGACAAGAAACTTTGGATCCATTATTAAAAAAAAGTATATATAAATTATTACTATATACAGATAATAAACGTCTAAATTATCTATTCTGTCAATTAAATAAAGTACTACGATATCGTCTACATGACTTCTAACACAAGTTAGTGGTAATGTGATTATGTAAAAATTATAATTTCTCTTGGAATAGGAATTTATTTTGTTGTTTTAAAGTTAAATTATTCCACATTTACCAATAATATATAGCATGCTTTATTGTTAGATTTGCACATAAGATTAAATAACACAAACAACAAAACCATTCATTTATTTATTTAGTAATTATAAATTTAATATTACTTTTACCTGTACTTCACATAAAAATACTATATTGGTACGAGCAGAGTGTAATCGCAACACTAACAATTCGAAACTCGACAAATAATAATTAAAAATAATGCATTATAATAACTAATAATTCAGAAACTACATGACTTTCCCCATATATCATTAATTTATTTTTATACAAAAATGTTTCATTTATATATAAAAATATTTTTTTAATCTTTTCTTTGAAGTAAATCGATCTATTGTGACTAAGCAATTTATATGAAAAGTTTATTTTCATCTATTTGGATAAATAACTTTTATCAAGACATTTGTCTTGATGAAAGTTATTATATTTACAA